GCGAGGTGTTTCCCAGAAGCTTCTTCCTGACTTCCAATAGAAAGCAAGGTATTTTCTGGCTTGCAGCAGATACATGGTGTCTTGCCAGCAAGAATCTGCAGCTAAGAGTCATTTAGCTTGAGTCTTTGATTTCTAGCAGTTCTGTGTTCAGGGAGAGAATCATTAATAAAGAAAGCTGCAGTATATATTTTCATTGTTTTCTTTATTCAACAACTGTGTCAACTATGGCTTTAGGTAGTTGCTGTAATTTTCATTCCAAAAAGGTTCGGTACAAAAAGTGAGGTCCTTTTTTCTGGCTGATGCAACAAAATGTGTAATTGCCATTAAACCCTCGTACAATGATCTGCTCTACATAAAAAAACCCCAACAGGGCAGTTTTAAGCATTACATAGCAAATAAAGTCTTTCACTTTGCTCAGAAAATGCCTTTGGTTTCTCATGTGAACATTGGGTTGTTAACAGTCTTTTCTATCTCCTTTTTAATTGTTTCTTTGCAGAACTGGGATTATTTTGAGAAGTTTAGATAAAATGCAGTAACAAGTATGCTCAAGCTGTTAGAGTTGCTTTGAATTTACATCAATATAGTGCTGTTGCAAAATATAATGAAATCAACATTGCATGATTCACAAGGGAACATAAGGAATGACAAAAATCATGGTGATATGTATGCTGAGGGATGTGAGCACAAAGCAATACTCAAGTGACAAAGACTGTTTTCCTCGTAGATGAAGGTGCTATTGATTTTTTTATATTCTCTTTATTTCCCCCAAATTAAATTATGTCAGCCAGACTTCCCAGTTGTCCCAGTCAGTGTACCTGTTACTCTGCGTAAATTGGATATTTAATGGGACATTGATTTGTCTTATTGGAAACCTAAATGAGTTTAAGAAAGCATTAATTATTAATTATTTAATCATTTAAGCTGGTCTTGAAAGCAGGAGTGGAATTCTCCACCTGTCTTGTCTTGAAAAGTTCTTCTTTGTATATCCCTGACCTGAGATTTTGTTCATTAATAACAAAAGTCTTCAGGCTGTGCCCAGCAGCATTGGAAGTTAAAACTATTATAAAGCAACCTGAAACTCTGGCAAAGTTTTGATGTTGGTCTCTTGTAGCTGTAAAGACTATGGCAGCTTTAACTTCTATAGGTATTATAGCTTTCAAAAATTGAAAAGTGTTGAAAGAATAAAAATAAGAATAAACATTAAAAGAAATTGTTGCATCTGTTTGATCTGTGGGCCTGCTTCCAGCATCCCTTTGTTCAAGTGAAGACACTGCACTAATTTATTTAACTAGAATAAGTTTAACAAATCAGTTCAGTTAGTAGTCCAGGTACTTGTGATGGAATGACATTTGTTTGGAACTAAATCCATTGTGTCTGTAGGTGGTTGCCCCTTGCTGATGTGAGCAAGGCCAGTAGATATCCTGTGTTTAGTCTTAAACAAAAGGGTCCATGCACCTTGTTTTATTGGTTGGGCCAAACTAGTATCTGACATGATTTGCAAGTATCAGCTCACATTGTTTTACTGGAACTGGCAAATACCTGACTTGTGTTTATGTTACAGAGCCCTGCTGTAAGTATGCACTTTATGATATGAAGACAATCATCCCCCTCGGTACTGAAGCAAGTACCTGTTGCTCTGGTACCATCTCTCCCTCAGAAAGTTGTTAACTTACGTTCTTTTAATTTCTTTTAGCTTGGAAGGTGGTCATAGTGATGATACATTTGGATGTGAAACTTCATTAAAGGCAACACAACTTCTTAAGTTGATGTTTGTCCACTCACTTTCTAAGGAATGCTGCTTCCAGAAATATGATGGATGTGACCATATGTGACCATTGCCTGACTTAATGTCTTAGGTGCTTATGTAACTCTTTCCATCTCAGCATCCAGGAACCTTGTCATGGTATTTACTCTCACAGCAGGGTGAGGCTAACAGTGGTGTTACACCCTGTTTACAGTCAGAGACACTGGAAACACAAAAAACCCAAAACATTCAAATAACCTAATTTTAGACTGGTAAGTCCCAGGCTCAAGAGACTTAGATGAACTTAACAGTCTGACTGTAGTCCTTTAGAGGTAGAGGATGTCATCCAAAGAGCCCAGATACCTGTTGTAGAGCAGGGGTTGGAATCTGGATTATCCAGATCCTAAATTAATGTCCTATTGCTAATTATACTGTCTGGAGTCTATTCTTGTCTTAGACATGATCTAGAGTTGCCTTACTGCATCATTGCTGCTAGTGCATGATGCCTGAGAACATATCCTCTAGCATTTAGTTGATGTGGGGAGGGCTGGTGCAGGCAGAACCTGAGTTATCTACTCTCTCAAGATGTGAAATCCCTGTAAGGAGATGAAACTAGCTCCTGGCTCACCTTTTCAGACCCAGGGCAGTTCAGAATGGACATGTCCAGTAAGCTGGCTCGACTTCAGTCAGAAACATTTCAGTAAAGGTATTTCATTTTCTTTTCCTTCAAATCCCTGTTCTGTCCTCACTGGTAACTATAAAAGGTCACCTCTGCCCCTGAAAAGCCTTGTGTGTATTGCATATATCCAAAGGAAAAAGCTTACAAGCAATGCCTTACAGGAAGGCAAAAGTCAATTACTCAGTTTTGACCTACAATGCCAAATTAAGGCCAGTAAGACAAGCACCATAATTAGCTTCGCTTAAGAGATCAGCCTGGAAATAGCAACTAACAGTATTTGTATTCATTTAAATGGCTTTAAAGGCAGAACTGGAAAGAAGCTGCATCATTGGACCAGTGTTATTTACATGTATTTACTCTCATAAAGAGCAAAGGCTTGTGTTTCAGATCAATACCAGAAGATCTGGAACCTTGTGTGAAGAATTGTTAGGGTGTCCTTCACATCTGAGTTGAAGAGAGCAGAATGTTGCTGATGCAGATTTCACATAGCACCATATAAATCCTAGAAACATTTTCCCAGATTCTTGATCTAGTTCCTCTTGGGAGCAACTGAGTCCATCTCAGGCTATCTGGTTCTGAGAGGGAATTTTCCTCACAATAATTTAACTTGCTAGCGCTTGTCTCTGTGCTTCTTTCTTCTTTTCTACCTTTCTTCCTTTCCTTCTCTCTTTCTCTCCTTCTCTCTCTCTTTCTCTCTTTCTCACTGCATAATCTATGTGTTTCCTTGGTTACCAGTTAATAGTCTTGTTTGGAAGAATAATAACTTCCACTCCAGAAATAGTATCACATTGCAGACTATTAGATGAGGTTCACTCAAGGTGAGGCATTCACTGGGCTCTTCACTGGAGCTCCTAATTGAAATACTGGTTGGCATTACCAGCTGCATTCTGTTCACCAGGATGGGCTGAGTAACTGCTCAAGGGAAATAGTTGAAATGAGGCCACCAGAGGAGAGGGTATTAAAAACTTTGAGCTTGAGTAGAAGAATTCAGTTGTTCATTTGCTTTGAAGTTTGGGGTGGGAGGTGTGGGTGGTGGTGGTAAGAACAAAATAACAGCTACCATATTAGTTTGGCTGGACTTATAACAGAAATTACTTAGACTATTTGTTATTCTTTGTTCTTGATGCTGTTTCTCCCCTAATCACACATTAGGCTTTTTATTATTAATCTTGTATTTATATATTACAGAATGATAGCAGCATTTTTTCACTAAGGCATTTATATAGGAGAGTAGTATAGAAGGAATTCAGGAAGTGATGGGTTTAGAAATTCACTGAAGAAGGGGAGGAATCTGGTGTAGTAAATATGAGCCAGGTATCTCTTTTATTGCTGCATAAGCAGCAACCTGAAAAACTGCATAATCCTGGTGGGGCGATGTCAGCAATTGATCAGGAAAGGAAAAGATCTCCAGAAAACTCCAAGATAAAATAATGAAGATGCTTCTCAGTGACAGTGAGAGTGATGTAGCTGCATCAGCACTCAGTCCTTTGCAGGCCAGGAAAAGTAGGACAGGAATGGTAAAAGACAGAGGCGTGGGTAGACATATGTTTTCTCTGAGATGTTCTGATGAGCACCACCAGTTTGAGAACAATGTTAGAAGGAGGCAAACTTTCTACTGCTAGAATGGGATGTGGGAGGGAGAGTTGAAGGAACATAGGTTTGTTTGGGAATATTCTGGGTAATACTTTCCACTTCAAATGGTACCGTTGAGATTAAATCTTGCTCTAGTTTACACCCATGCATTTCTGTTGGAGCCCCAAGCTGCCAGAAGACACATCGGAAGAGAAAGTTAAACGTGTTTTACAGAAGCCAAATGTGGAGCAATTAAACTTTTATTATGACAATGAAATACTCAAACCTTTCCTGTTCCTATCCAAGCTCTGCTAAGGGCAGTTGGATGGCTGATTACCACTACCTGGAATTGTCTGCCTGACTACATTGCATATACTTTGGTAATTTCTGCCTACTCACAGTATCTCTAATTTGAATGCAGAGAGGAATTTCTGCTAGAATTAATGGGAGTAGAAGCAAATAATGTTGTCTTCTTTTCTCTCCAGGAGTGCTTTCCCTGTATTAGGTATTGTATCTGCTGTAGCAAAAAGGAGATGTTTGTAGTTTATGTTAGTGTAGTCATTTCATATAGACTGCCTGATTCATCTGTTTTCCCAGAACTTGATTTGGCATTGCTTTCCTTTAATCCTTTTTGTTTAGATTATATTATTTCTTGGATTAAATTAGCTCAGTTCTTGTTCGTTCTTCATGTTCTTGGAAAGAAAATTGTAGGCATTCTGAAATGCTCTGTGGCACTGAAACCATGGGGAGAGTTTTTCCTCATCTTTCCATGGCAGCCTCAGTGGAAAGAGGTAGTAGTTGATGTAAATGGCTTAAATTACTGGTTTATGAAAAGACTATATTTAGATAAACTGGTGGTGACTTTTTAGATGAGCCTAAAATGTGACCAGATACATTTGTATCATGATGAGAAGTGTCTGAGAACACAGAGCTATGCACGGGAGAAAAATATTCTTTTTGTTTGCATTGAAATCTTATTTGTTTGTTTGTTTGTTTGTTTTACAGTGGCCCACCCTCAGGAGCCTCACCACCCCTCTGAAAAGCCGGTCATCCACTGCCATAAATGTGGGGAGCCATGTAAAGGTGAAGTACTCCGTGTTCAGGCCAGACACTTCCACATCAAATGCTTCACCTGCAAAGGTAAGACCTGGATATTGATCTGTTAGAAATGAGTCTGTTTATGCACTGGTACCTTGAACCAGTGATGAGAGGCTGCGCTTCCTGCAATCTGCCAGTCACGGACATTGTCTTTGCTCAGTACCTGAAGGGTTTGAGGGTAAGGAGGGTCAAGAAAGGAGGTGGAATGGCTGAATCACACATGTACAAGCAGCGAGGTGATTGGCACCGCACAGAACAAATCCATTATGCAAACATCTACTGTTTGATTGAATTACATGAGGCATTTGGTTTTCTTGGGTGGGGGAGGATGAATTTGCTACCACTAAAAGTCACAGAATCACAGAATATCATGAGTTGGAAGGGACCCACAAGGATTACTGAGTCCAGTTCTTAGCCCAGCACATCCCACAGGACCATCCCCAAGAGTCACACCATGTTCCTAAGAGAATTGTCCAAATGCTTCTTGAGCTCTGGCAAGTTTGGTGCTGTGAGCACTGCCCTGAGGAGCCTGTTCAGTGCCCAGCCACCCTCTGGGTGAAGAACCTCTCTCTAATACCCAACCTAAACCTCCCCTGATACAACTTCAGGCAATTCCCTTGGGTCCTGTCACTGGTAACCACAGAGAAGAGATCAGTGCTTGCCCCTCCTCTTACCTTCACAAGGAAATTGCAACTGCTGTGAGGTCTCCCCTCAGTCTCCTCCAGGCTGAACAGACCAAGTGTCCTCAGCTGCTCTTTGCACAGCTTCCCCTCAAGGCCCTTCACCATAATTATTGCCCTCCTTTGGATGCTCTCTAAGACCTTAATATCTTTCTTATGTGGTGGGGACCAAAACTGAACACAGTATTCTAGGTGAGGCCACCCCAGAGCAGAGCAGGGCAGGACAATCACCTCCCTTGACTGGCTGATGATACTTTGCCTGATGTCCCTTAGGATGTGGTTGCCCTCCTGGCTGCCAGGGCACTGCTGACTCAAAGACTTGGAGCAGCACATATTGTTCTGAATACTTATGTGTTCATTCTTGTTCTTTTCTACTGTACACTGGGTACAAGCTAAACAATAGAAAATTGTACATGAAAGAAATAAAAGAAGTAAAAAAAACCCATTTGCCCTTTTTAATTTTACTTGCAATTTTATTTACTTCATGCAGTTCTATCTGGACAATCAGTTTCATACATTTCCCAAACAGTGAATTAAGCTTGGTCTTACGTGCTTTTGAGTCTCTGGGCCTCCCTCTCCATAGCCTGGGATTTTCAGGGATGCACGCTTTTATGAGGGCCTCGCCTGTTTTGGAGCCCCATTTGGATGTGTGTGTAAGGCAGCTGTGTTATGGGAAGAGCTTTGTCTCCTGTCAACCCCAGTTCTTCAAAAGGGTTCTAAGGCTTTGGGCTGTGGAGCTGCCTTGGGAATGGGGGGAGAGCGGCCCATTCCACAGAGCGAGGACCTGAAGGGCTGTCGGCAGCTCCAGCTCATACCACCGAGCCCTCTGTGACCACAACAAAGACTCACTGTGTTTTTTTTACAAAAAAAGAGGTTTAATGAAGCGTTAAATAATTGTAGAACTACGCTTTGTGAATTCATGGCCTTTGAAGATGGTTGTTCTGGAGCAGGAGGCAATCCTGACTCCTCCGTGCAGTTTCTGTTTAATGAACAACAATTCAGCGCTGGCTGAATGAGGTAACCGCAGTACATAGGATGAAAGGTGAGAATAAGAAGGAATACACAGGCCCATGTGGAACAAGGGAAGCACCTGCTGCATTCAGTTCCAGCACAGCACAGGAGAGATGCAATGAAAGGGCTCCAGGTGAACGTGGCCGAGCTGGTGGCAAACATGGAGAAAGGGGCTGGAGCAAATCAGAGTAACTGAGCAACTAAAACAGAGTAGCAGAATCTGTACTATGTGGTTTTTGACTTCTATTACACCTCTTACCTTTTCTGAAAATCCGTATCTAGCACGTGTACCGCAGATCCAGACTTTGTGAAGTGTCTCAAGCCCAGTTCCTGGGTTTCAGTTATATTTTTCATGTTCTAAATGTGGGTGTAATAGTATAGTTAGTTTGATTTCTCTGTTCTTCCGCTTCCTGAATACATGGACTATAGCAGAAAACAGAAATAGTTGTTTTCCTGTGTTACTGAAAGTCACTTGAGTTATTTGCATGTTGAAAAATGAATGGCTAGAATCTAAGAAATTATGTTTGTTACCTGTGTTTTTTAATTAAATACAGTTAAATAACTCAAAAAATGCTTAACTTTCTCCTCAATATTAATATGTTTCATCTGTGCCAAACTGGAATGTCATCAGCCCATCGTGGAAGGCAGTGAGGAGCACAATCTGCGCTATTTCCGAAATGCCTGGGGAAATGTGTATCTCTATCACAGTTACTGTATTTCAAGCAGTACTTGATGCTGTATAATCCTTTAGCAATTCAAAGGCAGCAATTGTTTCTTTTCTTGTTTCTGCCTGTAGTGAGTAGTTGTCTCAATTTACAGAAGACACTGGATTAGGATATTTTTCAGCATCAGGCCAGCTGAGACCCTTTGACTCATGGAAGAGAATGCTAATTCAGGCCAGGCAGCAAACAGTGTGCTTGGGACCTCTGATAAAGCAAGGGGGCAGATGAGATGAAACAGGGCTCTGGAATTGTTGTCCTGATGAATGCACCACATTAATCTTGCAATTTTGGGGGGGTTAGTAGCTGCTTTTTTGCTTTGACTATTCTGTTGGTTGGATTTACTAGGATACAATTTTCCTCCTACCCTAAGGCAATATCTAAACTCATTTTGGCTTCTGTTTGTGGAAGTATTTCCAATCTAATGACGGTTTAATATTCTGTAATATTATCTATCTCATGACTGTTTACATGAAGATCACCAGAGAAAGGAGAGGTATAGAAATATCATGCAAGTGAAACTATGATTTATATAATTAACTTTTTAAGGAAAATCTGAGTTTGTGAAAGGTGTATGTGTTCACTTATTGTTTAGTAGAGGGTGGATGACAGTATGGCTTCTGCTGGCTGCAGTCTCTGCATATTCCAGTTTGAACTGAGAGGACAAGTGCTGAATCTTAAGAGACTTTTCCCATGCTGCTCATTCAGTTTGTGTGTTATTAGTTGGGTTTGCCAGGGAGTGTTGTCTGTTTAGAGTTCTGTTGTCTCACTGAAAGAAAGGAAAGGGGTGTATATGGGACGTTGCTCCCATCCTGTTTTGAATCTTACACCCGAGCTGCAGATCTTGTGTACTGTTTGCCTCTCTTATTCAAGTGAATGCAATTTTTGTTTAAACCCAATAGTTATTTACTTACATTGCATGTTGTCTGACCATATGCTTCATACAAGTGGCACACAGCTGTTCAAGTAAGTGTTTTTTTTTTTCCTCTTCATCTGATGAGTTTTTAATTTGACATGACTGTGACTCTACAGGAGGTGGAGTTAGACCATCCTCAGTTTATACAGTATGTTGTTAGCTACAGAAAACAGCTGATACTGGGACAGAATTTATCAGCTGCATCTACAGGTGGCTTCGTTATCTCTTTTTTGTATACTAAACTTTGCTCTTGAGACTTCAACTCATACATCTGCAGCTTGAAAGCCTTGAACAAGCTCATACTTGTCTGACTGTTTTCATACCTGCTGAAAGTGTTGAAACTTTTACCCAAAGACTTAGAAGACGTGGAAAAAATCCATTTCCTCATAAAGCTGTCACTAGTTGTATGGTTGTGTAGAGTTTCAGTGTGATCCTGTTCTTTGTTCTGTATGTATTTCTTTGTTTGTTTGTGTTTTTTTTTAATGCCATCCATGCTCTCAACTTTGTGCTGACATCATGCTGTAATGCTGCTTCCCTAGGTTATGTCAGAGACTCTTAGGCGCTCCAGGACTGCTCGGCATGCATGTCAGTGGTGGCTGTTGCACTGAAGGAACACGGTGACTTCAGTCTCCGTGCTGCATCAGCCAGCCCAGGACATGCTCATGTGTCATGTAATCTGATCAGACGGTCGTCTTCCCCTGTAGTTTGGTGCTCCATCCATCTCTGGAATCTTTTTCAGAATCTTTTTCGTCTTCCTGACAAAGATGACGAGTGAAACCTCAGTGGACAGGCGTGTTCCCATGCCCCCATCATAAGATGCACCTCGCTGTGACTCTCCCTGTTGAGAGCCACGAGTGTCCAGCTGGTGTGTCCTATCTGCCCGGCGAGGGCTGGCCAGCTCTATTTGTGGCTCCCGATAAGCGCTGATAGAAAAACAAAGCGCTGAAAATGGTGTGGCTGTCCCCAGGAAGGTGAGCTCTGCCGGCCCCCTGATAGGCAAAGAATGTCAGGCAGGCAGCAGCTGACTCGGAGCTGGAGTTAACAAGGGAATGATGGACAGGGGAGGGATAAGAGAGATTTAGGAGTGTAGCTCTTAGAGCACAATTCAGAGCAGTTGTCTTTCTTTTGCTTTTTTTTTTTTTTTTATTTTAACAAAGTCACTTGCCTTGCTAAGGATTTACACTGGTTTGTGTTACAATTGCAAATTTAATTGGATTCTTTGTTACCTCCAGGTGTAAGTTCTGTTTTAGTAGGAGTACACTACACTTACCATACCAACTTGTTAATGTCTACCAGGCAGTGGAAGCAGCAGGCTGAGGGGAGGGAAGGTTAAATGAGGAGGTTGGAGGGAGAGCAGACTGAGCTGGAGACATCACTGGTTTTGTATTTAATAAGCATTAACATTGACAAGAATGAATTAGTAGCTTATGAAGAAGTAAAAAGCTTCTTGTAAGTATGTACAGGGATAACCTTTCTGGAAAAACTAAGACTACTCACTGCAGTGCTGTTCCATATGAAACTGTGTGTGGGAACAGGCCCTAAATTATGCTGTGCATGAGCAGAGATTTTAATATCTCAATTTAAATTGTGATCTGATAGAAATGACAATTTTTTTACCAGTGTCAGTTGATAACAGTTCATTTTACCCTATTCCATGTACTAGGAGAGGAAACTTAGAGGGTAGAAAAATTGCTATAATAAGGCTTTATTATTAAG